GAAAGGGGTGAAATGAGTAGAACGAAGTTAGCATCTCGCGTCTGACCACCAACGTGCTTCAACAAAAGTTATCATTTTTCATTCCGTTCATCCCATCCCCTTTCTGTCTCGTGTGGTCTCCATCTTCACCCTCGTCCTCCCTCTTCGGTGTCCCTTCTATTTGTTTCCAAGTTTCTCTTCATTATTCAACAACTTTTAACTGTTCATTATATTCAGAAAAGGTTGAAGCATCTTTTAGTATAAATGACTATTGCATACCTTTTATTACATGTCATTATACTTCGTTCTTCAACCCCTTTTTTCTTTTTATTTTAACACCTTTCCCTTTATTCTTACCCCTTTCTACCTCTTACTCTTCTATCATTTTCTTTTTCATGTAACTCATCCGTAGCTCTTTAACCCCTCTCTTGGTCTGCCTCGACTGTCTCGATTCTTCGTTCTCTTTCTAGCATTTCTCTCTTCTGCAACTCTGTTTTCCTTCTTCATCTTCGCTTTTCACCCCTGGCTTCTCCTTTCTCGCGGTTCTTCTGTCCGTCTCTTTCTCACGATTCTCTGTCCGTTCGCTTCTCTTTCGCACCCTCTGTCATCCGCTACCCCTCTATATATCTTCCTCCGTCCCGACACGCCGATTGGACGCGAGAGCTTGCGAAAGTTCCAGGTATCCCGGAGGACCGCCCACCGGTCCTCCTGCAGCCGGGAAAGTTTCGTCGTTCCATGCAGGACAGGGTGGGAATCTGCTGCTGATGTTGCTCTATCCGCGACGTTGTATACCTTGGCAGTCGGCCGGTCCTATCGTGGTACACGCTACTTTCTAAGATCCGCTTCAAAAAATTAACCTTAGAGATTGAAATTTATTCGTTACCCTTGAAAATTAATACATTTCTTTATTTTACAGCTGGGAATCCTCGGGTATTTGGTGACAAATAAACGGTATCAATTCGCAGGGTTTAGGAAACTGTTGAGCTAGAAAGAAGTTGGAAGTGACGCGAGAAATCCGTGTAATTAGACTTCCGGAACGTATTTAACGGGAGCTTATCCCGGCTAGTATAAAGTTTCGGTCGAAAGAGAGAAAAAAAGAAAGTTCCATTAAATCCGTCGTCTAAGATATAGAGGTATTACGAAGAGGGTGGCTGGTTTAATTTATCACCTACTTAAAGTCCGACCGGTGCTCCCGATGGAAGCGACTCTTTTCAGCTCAGGTTTCAAGGTTCCTGCAGCCAATTGCCTGAGACTCCAGGCTGGAAACTTTATGAGGGATTTGTAAAAAAAATTCGATACATCGTGACCTTGTTAAAACATAATAACAAGGTGTATCCTTGTCGCTTTTCTTGTAAAACGTTCTGTTTGATCGAGTACTTCTGTAGATGATACAATTTTAAACAATACTTGCAAGTCCAAAGAAGGGTTAATTATTCGTTAGAACGTGATTCAGGAGCAATAAAACGCAATAGAATGCGCGTGTTGGTCCGGTGTTCGATGGAACAAGGGGCGTTGCTATCGAGCCTAACGAGGCTCGATGTCTCAATTTCCGTAAGAACGTGCCCCTCGCGACAGGAGGGGGTGATCAGCGTGAAGGGGAACGGCCAACTGACTGGGGATGATACGGGGATGATAAGGTGTTAAAATAATATACAGCTATGACCTGTCCGGGGGTTGCTCGATAGTGATCCTTGTTCCCTCTTTCTATCAATGCATGCGAATAGGACGATGATAGCAAGGGGGTAAAAATAATCGGCAGATACACAGGCTGGTTCCCGCAAAATGAACCGTGTAAAAAATGATACGAATAACGTATAAAATAGAAAGAAATGGCATAAAACAGTATTTACGATATTAAACAATAAAATCGTGGGGGTATTTGCTAGTTATCCGGACAAATTATTAGATTTCTACGTGCTCGATCGCATAGTCGCTCCCTTTCTCTGCAATTGTTTCTTGATGCTATCTCTGACTCTCCAGTTTGTTAGGGGGATTTATTTGATTGAATATCGACTGCTCGAGCAGCCGCTTGCGCTATAACGAGTATATCAGCATCGGCCGTATCGCGACCGTCCATGGGGACCAGCCAACCCCGTGAATTGTGTCCAGAGGGTGCTGCGTGGATGAATCGTAATCCAGATCGATGTAACGTTCACGTTTTTTCCTAAATAATTTGTGGAAAAATAACCAGCGATAGATTTCTTCCTTCTATTGTTTTCAATTCAAACTTAGAGAAATTTATTTTCTAAAATGAATTCGAAAAAATTTACTTATAATTATTTATACTTTAAGTATTCCCTTGAATACTGTCTTTTATGGTATTTGGAAAAGTGTCTTTGGGTTTAAAGAGGTTCATGCATCGCTGATTGCACGTCTCATACGTAGATCTACCAGTGGTATAATAGAACCCGATCCGAATCTAAATCCAGGCTTACGAGATAAACAGTCTATTAGGGGCTGCAGCAACCCCTGTCGAACCTTGGACCCATCGTATAACGATCAGATCAAAGGTATCGAATTGACGAGGAACCCTCGCGACTACCGCATCCTGCTTTATAAACTGCTGCTGGTGTCTTATCATCAAAATGGTAACCGGAAATTGTACCATTTACCAAAAATACCACCCCTTCGATTCTAAGTAACATTAATCATGCCACATGCTCCTCGATAACTGTGTTCATTTGAAATGTAATAAGATAATATTCTGTACCGTAGAATATTTGAATATTTTGAATAACAAGGAATAAAGGATCGATTAATTCGTTCAGCTCGAAATTGAACGTGGAAACTGTCGGGTAAACCCTCGAGTCGCGTACTCGCACGAGGACCAATTTTGAGTAGATCGTGCCCACTCAAAACACCATTAAGCTCGAGTCCTAGTTCATTGGTATCCAACATCTCCGTTCTATCTCCGTTCCTCTTTATCTGTATACGTGTGCACACAGCCACTCCGCCGAGGGTGGATATGATTGACGAGCCCTTAAACGAAATGGGATTAATGCGTGTGCAAATTTCGAGACCCCCCCGGGGGAAACGTCGACTCCGCTCGCCGATAATCATTATTATTAACGATGGAATTAGTACCCGACGAGGTTGCGGACTTGGAAGAATTCGAATCGACTCCGCTTTTCTTCTTAATGTCTTTCGAACTATGAATAACGAGTTTCAGAGAGTTTCGACTCAGGATGGACTTCGATGATTTAAGATCGCATCTTGGTAATTGAGCTGAAGGTGTAATTAAAAAATTACAAAAGTGTCGAATGTAACATTGACTCGGGATGAATGGGATTGAAGAGCAAATTATACTTTTACTATCCTTTGAAGTTTCGCTTGATTTCCTTCACTTTTCTACCCCGTAACTCGCAAAGTTGCCTTTCACTCTGGTGCAGCGCCGTTTAAAAATAAAGGTCAGCATTAATTTGCCGGTTGAATGGTTGAAAGGAGTGTATATCGGTGCAGGATTAATTTCCAGAAGCAACGCAGAGACCGTCTTCCTGATGGTCCCTCTTTCAAAGGTACTGGCTCAGTTAATGAACAAGTTTTCTTGGCCGCCGACTTCCGGGCTTAGCGGAGACTTATTAATCGATTTTCCTTTTCAAGTTAAAGTCGCATTTACGTTCCAAATGTGTATCTTCGTTTGATAATTACCACAAATTAGACGGTAAGCAAACATGTTTATGAGCCTTTAGAAAATTGTGAAAAAAGGGATGTTCCAAAAACTTTCTCTACTTTTTACATAAGTTATTCTGGAAACAAAGTTAGATTCGAGTTTAAATGCTAACAGGATAATTCCAGTGAAATTATTTTTTGAGATTTTTCACATTTTTCTCCTCGACGTGGGAAACTTTCGAGGCAATAAATGATAAAAGTCGTCGAAAAGTTTCTTTTCCTTGAAATTTCGTGGCCGAGTTAAGGTGACGTTTCCAGGCCAGAGGTCGGTAGAAAGGGAAAAGCAAATAGGTAATTTAACGAATTGAACGACCCTGATATGGAAACTCATATCGCCAGTTCAAGGTATCGCGCGTATCGATTCCTTTGTAGACAGAAGTCTGGGACCCGTTTCCGAAGAACATCTCGAAACGCCGGAATCAGGCCACGTATACAGTAGCCTTGAGCGGAATATCGAAGACGTCGAAGATATTCACCGACTTTTCAATCTTCGACTCTTGGCACACTTTTCAAGAGTCGATAAAAAAGGAAAAAAGAGGAAGATGAAGACAATAGAAAAATACAAGGCGATAGAATCGGTTAATCGCTGCGCCAACCATGCGAACACGTATTACATAAAGCATCGATTTGATCGAAATTAATAGAAAATGAACGAATAGATTTAAATAAATAATGCTGAAGGTAGAAATAAAAGAAGGGAGATGGAAGTATATAAAATTGTATCGTACGAGAAATAGATTTGTCCGGGGTTACGGAATGAGTTGAGAAATCGTCGCGAACGTTGAATTTTCTCCCATAAAATGCTCCCTCGAGGGTAAAGAGAGTAGATCACCCTGTATACGGGGGTGGAATCCGTTTCTCGGATTTTACGAGCTCCCGTTTCAGATCTTTCTCTTTTTTTTACTTTCACCGTTTTCCATCCCCTTCCCTTTCTTTTCCTCCGCTCTTACTCCCTTCTGGTCTTACTTATTCAGAGGTTTGACGGAACTTAGAATATAAACGATCCCCCGAACCAACCCCTATCGGTACGTCAGTTTCAACAGGGGAGCAAGGAATGATAGATCGACTTTTTCGACTTCGAGGGTGTAAATATGCGGTCCCTGAAAGACAGGTTGATGAGACGATTCCTTTACGAAGTCGGAAATCACTCTTTTCGTCTTTTTACTCTTTGAAAAGCGAAAAAAAAATATATTCAGACCTTCGTCGTTACTTCGATGAAACCTCGAGAATTTTATTTGTTCTATCATCTTTCATTTGTTTCATTTCTCATTATCTTTATTCTTGTTATCGTTCACCATCACGTGGAAGAGAAAATTTCTGGAAGGATCAAGCGTGTCCCTAATTTGTCGCAGGTTAACTTTGGCGACGTGTACATTCAAGCGAATCTTACAGTGCCCAAGACAAGAGTGTTGCCGGAATTTTCGAGGTTGGCTCACGGTCTTCGAAGCGAGAACATCACCATCCTAGATAGCAAAACTTTCTACATCCCTAATTTGCATTACGACGGTGCTGCTCCGAACGCTTATTTCTGGGTCGGAAATGGCTCGGAGCCCAACACGTTTGGCGTCAAAGTGCCCAGCGAAATAAAAAGGTGCTGCACTTCAGTCATTTCATCGCGAATAATATCATCGAAATTGATCAAATCAAAACGAATCGTGTATCTTTATTTGTAATCTTTGCATTTGAATAGTTTGGCTCCGTTAAGATCGTACCAAGGAGAGGACATAGAAATTGTATTACCAACAAATTTGACTGTGTACGACATTGACTGGTTAGCAGTATGGTGCGTGGATTACAAGCAGAATTTCGGCCACGTCCTCATCCCGAAGGACATCTACGTTCCACCAGCTCTTGGTCAAACTAAAATCACGGTAACTAAATACAATCGTTCGTCTACTTTGCTAGTGTCTACTATTTTATAAAATAAACGTAAGCTTTAATTAATAAAACCTGATCCTATACGGAATAGCCGCCTTGGTGGTATGATCCTGTAAGTAACACGAAGACAACTGTACCCGATCCCTTCGTTAAAAGCTTAAGATATCTATTACACTATTACAATGATATTACACTACGCGTGTAGGTGGTCTTCAAAAAGTGCACAGAGTGTTTTATTCTCCAGTGTAACATCAAACAAACGTTCCCTTCTAACGTAACGTATATCATTTTTCCAGACGAGCAGCACCCCGCAACCTCCTCTGTCCAAACACGAGTTGACCAATTGCAAAGAGATGCTGGAGGGTCGAGTTCAGGTACAATGGGAAATGATAGGTGACGCTATCCAGATTAAAGTATCGGGACGTATCAGGGAGGACCAGTACATCGCGTTCGGTTTGTCCGGTCAGGATGGAAAGGCTGAGATGATCGGCGGCGACGTGGTCGTGGTCGCGTACATAAACAAGACAGGTAGATTCATCGCAGAAGATTATTACATATCAGCGTACGCGCAGTGCGACGGCAGAAAGGGAGTTTGCCCGGATGTAAGGATCGGAGGGAAGAATCATGCCGATTTCGTGGATGGAGAACGAAACGACGGAGTGACGACAGGTTGGGAGTCCATGTTTCTAGGATTGATCGTCGAACAATTCTTCGTTTAACCTTCGACCCGTTCGTATGTTTCAGTTACTTACACGAGACCATTGAGAACGGACGAACCTATGGTGGACAGAGCGATACCGTCTACGGAAACGAGCGTGATCGCGGCGATAGGTCCTCTGAACGTGAGAGGAGAGGCTAATGCTCACGAGAGCTTCGACATGACTACCGCGGACATTCGTATTGATTTTACGTCGAGGAACGTCCACGAGTGTACAAATTCCCTCTACAACCTTCCGGATATGCCTGACATCAAACCCTGGCCACCGATACTGATTACCAACGAAACTACCTTCAGCGCGAGGATCGGGCCTGCTGCTGCCAAGAGAGGATACACGAGGCTCACAGGTATCTCTTCCGATGAATTCTCCGAGTTCAATTGGATTTATGTTTATTGCGGCGATCATCATAGTCAGATTTGTTAAATCCATCGTGATACGTTAAAACATAGGGCAACCTGGCTGGGGCATCGCGTGGTACATCAACGACAAGCTGATCCCAGAAATTACCGTGGAGAGAGGACAAACGTACACGTTCATAGTGGAAGGTGGAAATAATCCTACTAATCCAGCTAGGTGATTTCAAATTTCAAACTATTAATCACTGTATTTATGCATCCCCTCCTGATTTCGCTGTTCGTTAATCTCATAGAATTCCACTCTTCGTGAGGGGCTGTAAGGGGTTGCGACATAAAGTTGAATACAAGTGCATGTTTTGTAACACAGGTACCATCCATTCTATATCACCGACAGTCCAGAAGGTGGATTCGGCCAAAAGACTGAGGAACAACAAAGAGCACAAAGAGTATTCGCCGGAGTGAAATACGACGCCGACGGAAATCCTTATCCAAGCGCGGCTGGTCGTTACTGCGAATGGGTTCTCAAGGCAGGCGATACCAGTGCGAACTCGGAAACCTTTGAGAGCTTCTTCGAAACCCTTAGACTTGATTGCAACGAAGGTCAACCAGCCGAACTCAACTGGACTGTAACCGAAGAAACCCCAGATTTAGTATACTACCAGGTAAGCACCCCTAAAATAAGCAATATTTAACGAAAGAAATTAATTAGAAGATCGATCATCCTGAGGTTCAAACGACGATGTCTGTGGTTTAAATTATAATATCGATTAGGTGTTGATTAATTATACAAATTTTCTTTCTTCAGTGTTACCAGCACAATCACTTAGGCTGGAAGATACACGTTGTCGGCGACGCACACGCAATCGTGCCATTAATGTCAATGGTTCTAACGACGCTCTTAGTCGGTGTTTTAAACTTCTTAAGATGAATCTTTTGATCGTCATCTTACATGCAAAATACGCGGGACAAGTATAAATTGCGCGATAGAAGGCTCTACAGGGAGAAGGGAAAGCACAACTCGGAAGGAAACTTATGGAAAAATAACGATGGTGATACAAAAAAAAAGTAAAAAATTAAAACAAAAGGCGATTGTTTAAAATCGGCTGAACACGATACAAGGTTGTAAGAAAGTACTTAGCTCGTAAGGTTTAATCGTAACGTAAAAAGATTAGCAAAATATTTTTAAGATCTATCAGATTCAATATTTCATATTATACGATATATGTATATGTATATTTATACATATACCCAACACTCATACATATATATATATATATATATACATAAATACACACATTAACACGGCACACGAGGAGTACGAGATTCGAGGTGATTTTTAAAACGTTTAAGAATTTAAGAAACTACATACTTTAGGGAAAGGGGAGGGAAATATTTCTCTGACAATAATAAATAAATTGAGGCGTGGTGAGGGTAAACGTGGAAATTCTGACAATAATGAGAAAATAAAAAATGAAACGAATGTTGTTCATCCGGGAGATTTGCTGATGGTAGAATTGATCGAAAGTTGTGATGTGTTGATGAATGACGATGTGAGAGAACGAAAAAGAGAAAAAAGGAGAGAGCGTATCCGTGGTACATGTACAATGTAAATTTTGCACAAAGCTATATAGTTGAATATATGATGTAACTTTAAAAAATCGAGTAGCACGTAAGGTAATTACATTTATAAATGCTGTCGACTTGACAATAATACGTAGGTTAGCGAACGATGAAGGAATCGCTGGGGAAAAATGAGAAACGAGAATTATGTACAAGGTAACGTCAGACATTAATTATTATGTAATTTAAAAAAAGGAGATACAAGTTACAAAACTATCCCCTATATACGTGTAACAATGCTATAACATGTACATACTATAGAGTGGACCTTCCTAAATGAAAACGGAATGAAAGTATAAAATGTGCCTTGGGTACAGATAATGAACTTCTTTAATTACACGAATTAGGAACCACTCGGACAGGAGATACCCTATGGTACTTAGGAACTGGTTTCCTGCTCGTACGTCATGAATTAAAGAAGATAAGCATTATTCCTTTCGTTTTATTTGATGAAAAATTCGAAAATACGAGACGTACGATAGGTGGAAGGAATGAAAGAGAGTTTACAACCAAGAAATCAGAGAAATACATAATCACTCTAGAAACGTAGGCGTTATAACTTAGCGAAACCTCTCAATCTCTCGATGAAAATTTCCATGCTCTCCTCCGTTGTCCAGGTTCTAAGTAACGGGGTGTCCTCAAAATTAACCAGCTGCGAAACATTCTTTACAATTCCAATTGCTTATCACACGAAGACCAGTCTGTATTTAAACTACATACGCAAACATACCTAACATAAACATTATATACATATATATATATTAACGCATATATTAAAACCTGCATAAATTACTTAAGGTACTATATGCATACGTATAAATGAAATTCGAGGATTTACGTGATTTAATAAGCGCAATGGCGTTTGTGAACTTAATTAAGCGACAATAACGAAGTCTGGATCCCAAGTATTCCGGCAACACTCTCAATGGCGATCTATAAAAAAAAAAAAAGGATTCTTACACGACTTTCTTCGCGTTTACGCTGCTTACAGTTGTATCCTTCCGCCACTTCCGTTCCCCGCGCGGTCTACCCTTTCCTTTGTTGTCCTGTTTTCTAAGCGAGTCCTTCGAGCGAGCAAAGGGGATTCTAGTAAGTAAGCGGACGTAAAACACCTGTTTCTGTGAACGACAATAATAAGATACCGACTTGCCGGATTGGAAGTTAAACGGGCTGCTCCGTGAAATCGACGAAACGCGATAGACTTTCACGCGGGTCGAGGAGATACCGGAAGTCCCGTTTCAACTTGAGACAATAACAGTCGATCAGAATCACTCGGACAATAAATAACGATAATAATTGAAAGATCCTATATTTTGTCTGGGGGGGAGTAAAATCGCGTTCATTCGTACGGTTTGTCGTCCCTAATTTTTAATGTAATTCGGACAATAATTGTGCTTAGAGTTTCTAGAGTACAAAACATCGATGGTCGACCTAACGATCGTTTAGATCAGACAATAATAATGTAATGAAAGCTCTGTTACGGGACAATTATCTTAGGAAGCAGATACAGTAATGCCCCTTTAATGGTCCCAGGTTTGAAACCTTGTTGCGACTACTATCCGGACAGGTAGGTCTTGTCTTTACGATCCTGTTTGCAGTAATTCAATTGAAATTTTGATATTTTTATCATTGATCAAAATTCCGTGACCATTAACCGAGCATCACTGTATCTGTACGGATCAATTATTCGAAGTGTAAGGTGTGTAAAAATGAATAGAACCCCTCGTTAATTGTAACGAATGTACAGAACGAACGAAAGTCGTAGATAGAAATGTAAAATCTCACCTTTTTCTCTTCGGTATCTACTATATACGTGTACATTTTCTACGTACCAATCTTCTATCATTCTATCTCTCGTTTGACACTTTATCTTTTTAGGATACTAATGATAAACTGTTTCAAACATTCACGGAGCAACCCCTTGTCAATATCCCACAAGTTGTTAGTGGTTAAGAAACGAATAATAGCTTAGAAGCTAAGAGAAGAATTCCTTTTCTTTTTTTCGTTGTATCGACGTGTAATTTAAATGAAAAGAATGATTAAGATCAACCAACGTGTGATCTGGTTCGGTGTACCGAATGTGGAACGTGATTTTCGAATTGTTAGCGATTAAAATCGTTGAACATTTTGTGTCTCTCGTAGTTAAGATTCTGGATAGCCTTTTCACTCGTCTAACTTTTCTTCCAGTACCACCGCGACGGTCTCGTGGAGATCGACGAACTCGAGGATCTTAACACTTTGACGGTCGCACATTTCCTTGCAATTTTATGTTCACTTTTTTAAATAGAAAATTATTTTTCAAAGCTTTATTTGCAGTGTAGATTTTTCTAAATTAAGGGAAAGTGTAGGGGGTGGAATTTCCTATTATTTAATCTTGGGAGATCCGAAGGGCAGCCTGTGTTGCACCCAAGTAATTACTTATTTCCAAATTGTAATTAGTAGATATAAAAAATTGTGCAAAGTCAAAGTGTTAAGAGAAAAAAAAAAACATAAAGATGATAGAATGTGATTCTATCTTGTTAGCGTTCAATTCGGTCCAGCTGTCTAAATATCTATGTATAAAAAACATTTTTCTCCTTGTGTAGTGTAATCTTCGTTGGTAAGTCAACGAATTTGATCATTCTTATCTCGTCTGTATTAGAATTTCCTTTTGTGACACCTGTTCACATATCTCTACGTACATATCCCTAAAGTAATGTTAAGCAACAAAATTTTCCAATGAAATGTTCTCGATCGTCGTTTCGTTCTCAAACAGCGGACTAGTATCTTGAATTTAAATGTATAAATTTTAAAAGTATTAGATAGAAAAATTGTCGCTCGTCCTCGAGATCGGCGTCTATGTGTCTGATTTGTCCCAAGTGGCCGTCTGATGAATATTTCAGAAAGTCGATTAAGAAAGTAATCGGAAACAGGAAACATTGCGCGCGGTGATCAATTTAGAGATTAAGTAAAGAACAACATTCGAAATAGCGAATTTTAAATGGTGTCGATTAAATCAAACGGATGTATAACACACTGTCAATATGTATGTAACCAAGAAGGTTGTCCTCTTGTTTCGACGATTATCGTAGAGGTAACTTGAAAGCTTTTTAACTGGACATCTTTTTCCAATCTTATCCTCGTGGTAGAATATATTTTCACACATAAGAACAGGACGTTGAGAGCCGGAGAACGGTGCTTTCGTCAGCTCTTTGCACTCTTCGAGTATGCTGGTTTTTCTTGTATGTTGTTCAATTAATACGTAAGTGACGAGTGATAATAATTCACGATTGCGATATCGAGAACGTACAAAAGAAAAAATATAATAAAGGTTCGTGTAACTGGTGGTACAAATACCGGTGATTCTATGTAAGAAAATTTATTCGTCTAAGGATTTCTTTTCGATCAAATGAAAAATGGATAAAATTTTCTTTTCAGAAAAATTCAATAATCATGTCTAATGTTATTTTACATTTTAAAATAACAAAATAATGTTGATCATCTTATGTACCACCACTTAAATGATACCTTATACATATTGTATACATATATATATATATAAATATACATATATGAGAAGAATTGATTCGTTACGATAGACCGTCCTGAGTTGTGTTTAAAAAATTTCAAAGATATATATTTTTGAACGACGAGTATCGTTGAACGAATGTTGTAATATTTTATCGTCAAAGACAGGGGTGGTCTCGATTATTCTTGAATGACTGCGTCTCAAGAATTCGAATTCGATTGAAAGTAATTAGAATAGTCGCTCAATCATTGAAAATTAAAGAGTGCAAAGAGTTGAAATGTGATTGAGAAGTCCACGAGAAATCATTTCCCAACTATCCGTAGGTAGGTCGTTCTCGAACATGCTGACACGAAACCCATTTAGTAATTAGTACATCCCGTAGATGAATAAAACTTAGTTCGTGAATTAACGAAGAAACGAAAACAAACCAAAAAGAACAAAAAAAAAAAAGAAGAAGAAGAAGAATAAGAAACAAAATCAAATTTATCGACTACTTTATCGTATGGAAGCAAAAACGAAGGGAGGATAAGTTGAATATCTAACGTTGAATGGTTTCGGCGAATTTAACAAGCTCTCGCGTTCGAAGAAACAAGAAAACATAAAAGAAATAAAAAAAAAATATGATGTAACGTAGCATTATCGAGAATGGTAACAATTGTCAACCGTTTTTTTCAACGTTTTACGTGTTAGACTATATAGATTAATCAGCAAAGTAACTCTATTAATCGTGTACTCGTATTACTGTAAAGTCGATTCCGATTCTCAAAAATTCCTCGTGTTTTTTACGAGACACGTGCGAAAATGTTTTCCCCCCCCAAAAAAAAGAACATATCGACCTCTTGATGATTTGATCTTTTTCCTGATCGATGAAATTTACGTGGAATATCATTAATTATAATTAAGACGTTTACTGGCACAGAGTGGAAATACCTGCGTATATTCACACACGTTATTTCATTTGGCACCTGCTACCTTGCGTAAATAGCATAATATTAATGTTACATAAAATTTTCTTTTTAACGTCAGTCTCTCACGTGGCAGTGAACGTGTTAATTTCGCAAACTGTTGAACGTTCGTTCCATTCGTTGCAAATACTCGCACGTGTCCGAAATCTATCGTCATCGTGAATGCAAACAGAAGAAACAAAAAGAGTCGCTTGTACAGAGCGCAAGTCAACTAACTGCATACAAAGATGTATACGAGTTTGAATTTCGATGCCAGATACAGAACAGTGCGTTTTGAGTCGTGTATGTGTATGATGTTGCACTGTGTCACTCTTTCTTTTCCTCTTATCTGTTTTTCGCAATCATTTGATTACATTCGAAATATCATTTAAATATTGATTTACCCAGTTAGAATATATGAAGAACCATTCACATAAATTGTTAATTTTTCTTGATATATAATCTATCGCATGGTACAGAAACTAACGAAGGGTTTTTCATTTCCTTTTATCTATTTTCTTGTAGCGTTAGTCTGTCTCTCGAAGAGAAGAGGAAAACGGAAAGCATACATACAATATAATATAATATATACACGCATAATCAAAACACAAAGAGAAGAAACGCTATACGCGTGTTCCGACTGAACAAAGCTCGAAAGCCACAGTACGAAATATAATACTATAATGAGAGAGAAAAGAAAATATAAAAAGACTGCTCTCGCCGGCAAAAGCATCATTGTCCCATGGAAATAGATTTAGAAACACCAAAACATATACACCACGCGTCGCGAAACATCTTTGTTCCTTCTTTAAACTTTCTTTCTCCTTCCATTTCATTTTTTCCCTTTTGTTCTGTATTTCTCCATTGTATGCAGATCCACGTCCGAAGGTTTACGAACGAAACAAGAGATTAGAAGTGGCTAACTATATCGTGGAATTACGATGATTATTATTCAAATGAAAAATATCTCAGGATATTGTACTCCTTCATTGTCCCTCAGTTTTTCTCCGCAACGTTTCACGCGTTAAATCTACAGCTTTGACAGCGCTACATTTATTAACGATTGGGTAAAAGGAGCATCTAAGTAACCATGAGGTATATAATATATTATGATTATGAATTATTGAACATTGTATCAAATTTTATATTCACTTCTTGTGGTTGACAATAAACTGGTTTTATAAAAAACAATAGAGGACTTTCATACAAATTTTGTCGACGTTTCGCTTGTGGTCGCTTTGCGTATGTTACAAGGTATCTTATATATTTTTCAATTATTGTCTAATTTTGTAGGATCAATCATTTTGGATAACCCCAAGGATCTTTCTTCTGATCCATCAAAACTAGGGATGATTCACAGATTTTTTTGAACACTTCCCGTAGCCTCCCCTTTTGGAATACCTGAAATAGATCAATAGAATTAATAGTTTGATCATAATCACGATGATACAATTACATCTAAAGTCTAATTACTTTGTAAAGTTGATATTGTTCGGAGGCAAGAATATCTGCTAGCTGAATGCATCCAGCGTGCTCGTTCATTTCAGACATTACAGAATGCAAAAGGAGGGTAATTTTTGGTATACAAAGCTCTCGTAATTTTTCCATTTGTCGTTCGCGTGATATTTCTTCTGGTGTACATGGTTCGTCACCATTGTTATTTGAATCGACGAGCCAACCACCGTCCGGAAATAGTAATACGTTATACAACAACTGTTTAACTGCCTGTAAAAAGAGTATTATTTAAAATTACTATTCATTGTAAACCGACCATCTTTTTACAAACCTTTGTATGATGTTGCATCGTAGTTTTCCACCTTTCCATTTCAGCGTTGTATTGCGCTTGCTTATGTTCGTATGCAACCTTTTCTGTGAACGTGGCATATGGTGGTAATTCTTCTAAAGGGGTAGGTTTACCGTGATGGTAATGAGAGAACCATTCGGCAAAGCCTTCTTGCGCATCCAAGTATATTTTATAACACAGGTACTCTCGAATCGATGAAGACGCCCTTCTTGATAGATTATTCGTTATCGTAAGGTTCGTCAGTGTGCCTTCCATAGTTGGATATTCAGCCACGATAGATTCTATGGTGTCCGCTGGGATCTTATTGAAAGCTTTCCGCGCAGCGTCAATTCTTTCATTCTTCAAAAAGTATCTAATGAGAGCATTAGTTTGCCATAATGCTTCTTCCCGCTGGCTTCGATAAAATATTAACCAGTCTAAGGCGTTAATCTTTTCTATATCCGCATCGGTTATGGCGCCTTTTAAGTCTGCACTATCGATATCTACATCTTTGCTACGTATTCTTTCTACTACTAATTTCGTGATCGCTTCCACATTTAAATTAGCATCCTCCGCCGCGGTCAAGCATTTCTTTCGTTGCTCGTAATCTTTTATAGTCTCCAAGTAGCTTGCGTAATTCGTTATCTGAGCCTCTTGCGGCAACATAGCTGTGTAGAAAGCGATCAAAATCGGATCGTCCATTTCGATTAAAACTCGAACGTACGACAGCAAAACTTTATCCCCAACTTTATCGTTTGTATTTTTACCAATTTGTCGGAAAAAGAATATCAAATGTCCTAAGAATCTTAAAAAGTGAGGATCACAGTTCTTCGTGTCTATCATAGTTTCTATCTCTTCCATTAATTTCGGTATCTGATCTAATATCAAATATTTCTGAATCAGATGATCGGGCTTGTTTGACTGAGTACGAATGATTGGATTTTTCGATGCGTGCAACTCTTTAAACACATCTTCCAAATACATTTCATTCTTCCAATACTCCTCTGGCATGTCCGTGAAACTTTTTGCTACTAAATCCCTCATATCTCTTTCGACCTTAATATCTAATAATGCTTTCATGTAAGCCCATAACGCGTCTTGCCACGAAGATGCAACTTGAAGCATTTGTTGAACGTTTCCGCAAAGACTAGCGTAAATAGAGCGATAAAATTGACCTGAATATAATAGAAATTTTATTATATACATACATAAATACATTTCACTTATATATTTAAAACAAACGGCTATTACCTACGCGTTTATCCTGGCACAGTTCCCACGCGCATAGCTTCCAAAGACTTCTATTAGGATTTCCTTCAATTGGTAATTTGGTATCAGATAATGGATTCAGATAATTAGGATCATGGTTAGGTATCCATCCTAAAAGACAGGCAGCTCTCCAAGGCTGCCCACAGTGTTCCGCTAATGCCTGTGCTTTTTGAAGACGACCGCAACGCACCTGTTACATAAAAATATATATTTCCCATCTTATAGTCTGCTATAAAATTGTTTAATTATCTTTAATACAAAACTCTGTATACCTCTATAAACATTCTTTTTTCGAGTCTTGCATCGTCTTCCCTATCCAGATCATGGAGAGGTTTACCCTCTCTTATCGGAGCATCTGGGTCTAGGGATGATACTAATGGTCTAGACGAACGAAATGGAATCTGATCTTTATCTTTATATGTAAGTAACTGTCTGACTGTATTCTCCCATGCTAGAGTTTTGTCTGTAAACTGTTCTGTGGTTGGATATTTATCCGCATCATCTAATGCATTCTTTTCCAACCAATCAATTATCAACTGATATTCTCTAATGTAACTTTCAGTCTTGAATAAATTATCTATTACAACTTTTTCAGATATGTAAGTATTATTTTCTTCTGAATCGTCCTCCATTGCAGTAGTGAAATTTATACTATTTATTCGATTTTGATATAAACAATAAATAAGTCTCCATGTATTTCTTTCATTCTGCAAGGAAATCTCTTCTTCTGATACTTCATTGGTTTCCACTTTAGATTGCATGCCTGTACAATAAGAATTTGAAATTGGTATGAACATTATAGATTAGGATGTAAAATTAGTAAAAAATTATTTGTATACCTCTCATTATATCCAAGGTATCTGAGCAGTTTTGTATGAAATCTGCTACGGTATCAAATATCTGTGTCTCTGAGAAGTTCATTTGTATACTATGTAAAAAATCATAATACAATTTAGACATGATTTCTCTCCATGGTTCCTTTGTCTTTAAAATGATCCCTGTTGCACTGCTGTCTTCCATCATTTCTCTCAATGTAAGTTCATTCTTTTCTGAGGTAGTCATTATATCTCGAATTTCATGAGGAGCAAGTGTTATTGAACTATCAATATCCATGAGATCATGAACCTTCATTAATTTTGAATTGTTATATGACTTAGCCAACATTCTGGCACTATCATTCAACTGATGTACATCGTCCAATTCTTTTCTTAAATGATTGGCATTTTGTAATGATATTCTCTTAGGAGTTGTACTTTTCGTACTTAACCTTAAAAATGACTTGAGCTGCATATTTTCTTGATTAAACCCTTGAACAGATCGTTCTAAATTTTCGGAACTATCGTTCATCGTATCCATTTTTATATTATGAGTAACAAATGCAACGTTTCAGTGAAATTATTTTATTTAACAAATTAATATTTACAAACGTACATACACAATGCTTGACACTCATGCCGGTTTTCGAATCTTACAGTAATACCAATAAAACAGAGCCTGTTGGAAAGCCTGTTTCTCTAACCCCATCTCACGAAAGAGCATATTTCTTTGCGTTTTCGCTTATACCACGCATGTTTCGATTCTATATATTTGCTGATCTATGATGAAGCGCAAAAGCCAAGAAATATACAGGGTGTTCGACAACAGGTGGACAATATTTTAAGGGGTGATTCTAGGGATCAAAATAAGACGGAAATCAAGAATAATGAAATAGCGTTTACGACTTTGTTTTCCAGTTATTAACGTTTAAAAATTCGAGTAAAAAGCGCCAGAAACCTGCAATCCGCTCAGCACCGACGACCGAACGTCAGGTCAGCAGGGGTCGGTACAG